GTACCAAGCTACTATTCATATTACTAGGAAAAACACTGAGCTCCATAACAAATCAGTTCACATTTTCTAATAAACACCAACAAGAAACGAAACTTTGTAAAATTCGAGAAAATAGATTTAAGATTGTTTGGTTTGTTTTGACTTTCGTGCAAAGCTACACCGAAGGCTATCTGTGTTAGCCGTCTCTGAAAGACTAGAGGGAAGGCAACTAGTCATCACCACCTACTGGCAACTGTTGGGCTTCTATTTACCAACGAATAGTGGGATTGACCGTCACTTTATAACGCCCTTACGGCTGAAAGGGCGAGCATGTTTGGTGGGACGAGAATTCGAACTCGTGACCCTCAGATTGCGAGCTGAGCGCCCTAACCACCTAGCTATGCCGGGCAGAATTAAAAATCTTACAAGGTATCTTAGTGATAAATCTATTTCATAAGCAATGAGAAGTAGCGCATAAGAAAGTTGTCTTGGATCTTTACCAGTACAGTAATTCATTAATAGGAAAAGGAAATATCAATGTAGTTATAACGTAATGCATGTAAAATTAGATAATACATCAACAAAGCCTCTGAGGTATTAGTGACACTTAGTTTTCCAATACACCTAGCTTTAAGCTGTATCAACTTAACCTTTTACGACGGATACTAAAATTTCTTAATGTTATTTTTATTTGGAGTACAGAACATTTGACAATAACAGTTAAAATATTAAGTTGAAAAGCTACAAATAAGATTCTGGTATCGAAAAATGAGGTAAATGTTTCCGTAACTTGATTTACAGCTGTAATGCATACCGCTCCCAGTGGCACAGCGGTATGTCTGCGGACTTACAACACTAGAAACCGCGTTTCGATACCCGTAATGGGCAGATAGCCCATTGTGTAAATTTGTGCTTAATTCCAAACAAAGAAGTAATGCATATAAGAGCTTCGTGCGATCTTTTAAGGGAAAAGCTATTATGATCGTCAACACCATAAGTTGAAACTGTATTTTAGCAGAAAATGTTTTTCGCCCCATTATATGGGCAAGAAAATTATCTGTTTTGGTAACTATAGTCAACGAAACAATGTAGTTAGCGTCTGAGATGTAATGGCTTTGTAACTAGTAGAATGTCACTTCAATGGTTAGCGCAGATAGCGTAAATGTAGGTTTGTTCGAAATACTATAAACAAACGAATTTCGTTTTCTTTTAATTGAATGTTCAACAAACAAACACGTGCTGTTTGAAGTTTTGTAACAGACGAAAGTTTTATGCACGAAACCTCCTATATTTTTATACTTCTTCCACAGTTATGAACAAATAACGTGACTACGTTCTACCTGTACATATTTATTAGAAAATATACCAGAGAGAAGGCATCTAGTTAATACCACCGACTTGTATGACCAAATAGTGGAATTTGACCGTCACTCTTATCACGCATTTGTGGCGGTAACAGGGCGCAAACCATGAAACCATACTCGACACTGGAAAACAGAATACAACATAATTTTTATTTGATATTGGTATTATTTTTTTACTGTAAACTATTACATAGAACATAAACACTATACAGTTTGAAAATAGATAACACTGAAGAGTAAGATGCTGTTAAGGTCAAAGCTGTCTGTGCGTTGACCACCTCGAGTATCGAAACTCGATTTTTAGCGTCGTAATTCTGAAGACTTACCGATAAGCCAGTGAAGAGGGGAGGCAATAACATCAATTAGAATGGCATAAATATATAGTTACGTTTATTTCATTGATGGCATAAAGTAATTTCTAACATAGTTGTTCATAATCATAAAATATCCAAACATTATTTTGCAATAATCCTTTACTGACTGAATAAAGTTTTCTAGTAACTAGCCCTAAGAGACACAAAAGAGGATAATTAATAAACATAGACATTTCTGATCAATTATGTATTACTTAATTAATTACGAAATGAAATGTTTCATTAAAATGTGAAATAAGTGTGAAACTTGGTTATCCTATTAAGAAACATTTACAATTAATACAAACCGTAGAGGATTTTGCTTAGAGCATCGGTAGCGTTAGGCACATGTAAACATTTCCTTACGTTAATGTGTTTGTGCTCATAAGTATATATTGTAATCGTACCATTAGGTTTGACTTAAAGCTAGTTACAGCAATAGTTACACAATAAACTCATCTCATTTGATGAAGTGCATTAAATGAGATGAGAATATTGTGTCTGTTTGTGTGTTTAGTTTTGCGCATAGCATCTCAAGGGCTATCTTCGCTAGCCATCCCTAATTTAGAAGACATAGAATGGAAGGAAGGCAGCTAGTCCACACCACCCACCGCCAACGCTTGAGTTACACTAATTGAGTAGTGAGATTAATCGTCACATTATAATGTTCTCACTGCTGAAAGGGTGAGAATATTCGGTGATGTGATTCGAACCCATGACCTACAGATCGCGACTCCAACGCTGACAAACTACTCTCTATTTGGATGAAAGTTAATAATACCCAGATTTGTTTACTTTATTCAAACAACATAAAACATGGCAAAAACTGTGAATTAAATATCTTATCCGAGTAACATAGAATTGAGAAGCTTTAAACTATATTCAGAAAGAAAGGAGTTGGATTTTTCATCTGAACGACACCTTATGCGCACATGCGCTAAATGGCCAGGTCAGTTATAGCCGTCCCTAGCTTTGAGCTACTGATCATAGAAAAGGGAACCAACCCACAGCACCTAAAGCCACAAGGCATTTGTCTGGATCTTTGAACTGAAGAACGGAATTGACTGTTACTTTACGTTCTTTCAGTTTTCTGAAGTATATTTCTTAAGATGTTGGCCACGAATCAGACAATTATATTTATTCATTTGCTCTGTTTTTTCTGGAAATTTAACATGTATATACACACACACATATATTATACGTACATAAATATTATACACAAATAAATAGATGCTCATATTTTAATTTCGGCAGGGTTAGGTTTAGTTAGATTAGGTCTCCTCAAGACATGCAAAAATATTTACCCAACCGAACCTGAAATTGAAGAACCTATGTAAACAATCTCTAATCAATTTAATTCGATAGCCAGGTGTGTATACTAAGTTGCAAATATGATTTTTAGAATTAAAATATTTTAACATCGTCTCCCACCCCCCTTTTCGCTGGCTCAAAGGTAATCTTGAAAGATTATAATGCTAAAATTCGGGAGCGATCTCTGGAATTGGCACAGCATAAACGGACCATTCCGCAGCTTTGTGAATATCTACAAATACGCAAACGATCTTTTACAAACCAAGAGATATACTTTCCTTAATCCTATACGTTTAAATTTGCAGTTCATGTCTATGCTCACAGACTTTCCACATCATATAGATAAAACCTTCAAATTACGTCTACGGATAATGTTTTACATCTGGCACTTAAGATTTAAAGTATATTACTAGTAAGCTGGATGAATAGAGAAAGTTAACTTATGCTAAAAGTTTGTTTAGCTACCCAAAATCTAGTTCAGTGTTTATATACAAAAAATTTGCATTTGTTACATTCTTCTTCTTTATATTCGCGAGTCTTTTTAGCTGCATATGAGCTGTTTCTAATCGTAAAAATCAGAACTCATCTGGATATAGACATGAAACACTTATGTTTCTTATGTGCTTCTTTATTACTGAGTCCTTATAGTTGGTTAGGAGATAATGTTACTCATAAAACTTCCTGACTCATCACGCTATAGACATGAAACACTTGTGTTTCTTATGCATATCATTTACTACTGACTTGTTCCAAATAGAAGATTTGAAATTTTTGTACAATTTTTACAGTAGTCAATACTTACGACATTAAATGGTTGTATGGCCTAGCCATATTGCTACCACGATAAGAACGACGTTTCTTTAACCTAACTTAGATTTTAAGACAGTTTTTATATTTTCATACTAAATAGATAACGTTTTAAGTTGTTTGTTTTGAAACTGGATTTCTTATGTAGACTCAATATAGAAATGGTTTTTATAATAATGAGGTATCTATAAACGTTATTTTATTCTATTTTGTAAGAAAATGTTTTGTTTTTGTTAATCCAACACTCAATGAATTCAAAACAAAAGAGGAATGCTTTTGTAAATGTAAGTGATTGAAAAGTGTGTGCTTGAAACTTAGGGTTCGCAATGCTTAGACATCCCAACACGTTTTGAACTTATCATAAAATGTATAGTTTTTTTTAAATTCATCTACAGTAGTGCTTAACATAAAAATATCATATTTTCCTACAACCCAGTTCTAGATCACAGGACTTATTTTCCAAACATTTCATCCTGGAGTTATGCGATGACATTTTGATAATACGTTTTTTCTACTTCAGTTTTTCTTCTACGTATATTATTACGTATTTAGAAAAATGAAAGAAAAGGCAGAAGGAAAGGCTCATTTTCCACCAACTTAATTTTTGTTTCTTGCGTTTTTCTTTCAGGACCTGCTGTCAGAAAACCAATACCTGACAACAACAAACTTGTAACAGACGGTCGGAGGAAGTAAAAAGGCAAGCTGCTATCAAAATACACTTCCACAGAGCATACGCCAGAGAAGGTTGGCCGAATAACTTTGAGATCCACTAGTCCTGGTATTATCTTGTCAACATTTCGCAAAATAGTTGAAAACGAACACGATGGCTCACTTGTCTTTATCAAACTCTTCGGAAACAGCAAATGATAACGAATCGTATGATACCTCAAACGACTATTCGTTGGTAGGCATCGAGGAGAAAGTGTGTCTAATTCTTTTATACAGTATTATTTTACTGTTGGCTATTGTGGGAAACATGCTTGTCATCATTACCCTTGCAGTTAACAAGAGGATGAGAACAGTGACCAACGTCTTCCTGATGAACCTGGCTATTAGTGACCTGCTTCTTGGAGTTTTCTGCATGCCCTTCACTTTAGCTGGAGCCCTGCTTCGAGAATTTGTTTTTGGAGAAGCCATGTGCCGCATGATTCCTTACTTCCAAGGTATTTACCACGTATACATTATAACTCATAACAGATATATGCATAAAAATATTAATTGCTTAAGAAATCCTGAATAAGTTTTAACTTTAGTTTCATTTGTAATATTAGGACTTAGCTAAATTAGTTTACCTTTAGTTTATCTGGGCGTGGGTATGAAGGAAAATATTCCATATTAACAATAATAACACAGGCCTGTGATGTTTTTATTGTCTTAAAACTTTTATATGTTCTACAATAATTCCTGTAAAAGAATGTTTGTATTTTTGTTAACAAACATAATAATAAAAAAATGTTCATTGTGGTAAACGAAACAATAATTTAATCTAAGTAAGAGTTTATTTTTCTTCCTGATTTGTAAAAAAAATCCTTACGTTAAAGAAAAATATGAATATTATTTTCGAAATCTGCGTAGCTCAATTATGGAAAATCCATTATTAAAACCAAAACAATTTTTATGAAGTTTAAATTGGCAGGCCTGTGCAATTGGTTTAGTCGCTCCTCCGGCTTGAAATGAATCATTTAATATAAAATGTTCGAAGTTATTTTTGTGTAAGTAATATTCGGACACTTCTTTTATATACACTAAAAATACTCTGGCTAGACAAAATTGTCAAAAGTATTGGTTACCTTCCAAATACACTGATTACTCTTATAGAAGGTGACAAAACGATAAGGTGGATGTACTTAGTTGTATGGATATTATATATATATATATATATTACATTGGTCTTCATACTTATCTATGCTTGATCAAAGAAACAGGGTCCGCCCGGTGAACCAGCAATAATTTTATTGACATAAAACGCTAAATGTCGGGGTTCTAATCCACGCAATGAACAGAGAGCACAGTTAATCCACTGTTTAGCATTGCGCCAAAAAAAAAAACAAAAAAAAACAGAAAAGTGGATGTGTTCGTCAGCTTAATCGTTTTACATCTATTTTGCTGCCATCATGGTCTAGCCCAGCTGGTGCTTTCTGACAGTAAAAGAAAATTCTCCTAGACAGTCATTTTTGGCAAGCGAAAAAATGTATAAATGCAGTTTTTATACATCTTAAATTCGAAGTCCCTGAAGATCCAATTAAAAGCAATATATATAAATACTCGGCCGTCAAGTCTGATTCTAACCACTCTCGTCAAGCCTAATAACGCAACGGCTAGCTAATTCTACTATTTCGCATGGTAAACAAACATCGTCACCAGGCTACATGGCACCTAAACTGTAGCAACTGCTGCTACCTTTTGAAGGTCATGGTCATGATGTTTTGAAATATAATACCTAACTTTCAATCAATTATAACTTTGTAGGAATAATTATACTTTTGTTTTTAAGTCTATTCCACTTCTAATTTTCGAAATAATGGCCTGGAAATATATTTTTGAGCTATTTTTCCTTATGCTATTATATTCATGACACCTAACCATAGATATAATATTTGTGAATCCTTTATACAAAATCATTTATAACTAGTACATCTGACCAGCAATACAATATTTATGAACCGTTTACACTAAATAAGTTACACTCAAGTGATCCTGACTAACTATACGAGGCCCGGCATGGCCAGGTGGTCTCGTAATCTGAGAGTCGCGTGTTCGAATCCCCATCCCACCAAACATGCTCGCCCTTTCAGCCATGGGTGCGTTATAATGTGACGGCCAATCCCATAAGTCGTTGGTAAAAGAGTAACCCAAGATTTAGTGGTGGGTGGTGATGACTAGCTACCTTTACGCTAGTTTTTCACTTCTACATTAGAGACGGCTAGTGCAGATAGCCCTCGTGTAGCTTTGCGCGAAATTCAAAACATACCAAACTATACGAACAGAAATATTAATAACGTTTTTATACAAATCAACATAAAGATTAACAAAACATATTCGATAACTTAACAGCTTAGCAGAATAAAATATAAAAGAAAACGCATGAGCTCTTTTTCTTTTTTACGTAAGAAGTCTGTTTATAATTTAACATCAAGATATGTTGACATATTTCAACTGTAAGAAAATCATAACATAAATTTTGACAATAAGGAACCATTTTTGTACTTGAAAGCTGCACTAACACACTTCAAAAGGGAAAATTTAAAATCTACCCTTTACTCATCAGAAAATCATCGATTCCTCTCTTAAGCTCTAGTAAAATGCCAGCTTTCACTACTACTGATGGCAACTCATTCCATAAGCCATTCACCGTGTTAGAAAAATAAATCTCCTTATTAATATTTTCCATATCTTAAACTTGTGTTCTTTCGTTTTATTGTTTCAGAATACACTACCAAGAAATCACAGATTTTTATCCTATGGAACTCTTAAATAATCCTATAAGCTTCAATAAAATCAACCTCACCCTTCTTTTCTCACGAGAAAATACGTTTTAAGAAATCTTATACTATTCCTATAAGATAACTCTCTTCTCTGGAATTATTCTAGTAGTCCTCCTCTGAACTTTTCCAATATCTCAGTATCCTTTCTTAGTTAAGGAGAATAAAAACTGTACACATTATTATAAGCGAAGCTTCTCTAGGGATTTGTATAGAGAGAAAATTATCTTTATGACTTGTAAGTTATAGGTATTGATATACGTTCTAAAATCTTATTAGCTTTACTATTAGCAACGGAACACTATTTCGATAACTTTAGGAAATTATATAATACTACTGAGTGGGTTCACATCTGTATTAACTGTATGATTCAAATTATGATAACCCAAATGCATTATATTGCATTCTTATAAATACTCCAGAATATCAGCAAATTTTATTAATTTACTGATTATTGCCCTATCATAGTATCGTTAGCGTAAATAAAAAGAGGCAAAGGCTTAACTAAGTACTGACCAGAGAAACACTACACTAGGAACAAGATATCAGTTTAACTGGACTCTGTTAATAACAACTTTTTCTTCCTTTCATCCAAAAACTCCCCAATTAAATTGGTTAGCCTTACATCAAATTCTCCCGATGTGATTTTATTTGCTAAATTTTATATGATACTTATCAATAATTTTTAAAATTCTAAGTACAAACCCTTTTTATCATCCAGATAATAACTGGAATCCTAGAAATACAGTTAAGTGATTAATAAGGCAAGCTATACTCTTAAGGAATTCATATTGAGTTTGTTTTATGATACTATGTTTTCACATTATAGAAGTAAGATTAACCGGCCTATAATTTCTAGGACAACTCTTATCACCGTTATGTAAACAAGGTTGTCATAAAAAGTTATCCAGTTCTCAGTCACCTGCCCACTGTCTATTGAAAAATAGAAGCTGACATATCTAATGTTTGACATTTTCTAAAACCCTAGGGGAGAAACCTTGTGTCATTTGAATGTTTTATCCATATCTGTATTCCCACTTATTCTACTTATCACTGTGGAGTTAATAACTACATGGTCCAGATCAATTCCAATACTTTCCATAGAATGCTCAAAGTCAGTAATATTACTAATATCATCTCTTGTAGAAACAGAAGAAAACATTTAAAAGCTCAGACATCTGATAGTTTTCAACAAAATCCTTGCTATCACATTCTTTAAAAACCGAATTTCCATTCTGACATTTTGCTTACGTTCAACTTGCCTAATAAACTTTTACTGTTACTTTTAATATTTCAACTAGTTGTTTCTCATAAATCATTTTTATTTCTTTTTGTTATCAAATCCCTAGTGTTCCAATAATCCCGTAAAGCTCCCACCCTAACTGTCAATTTAAACTTCTTAAATATAAAACATTTATTGCAGAATTTGTTATTTATGTCTTTAGTACATATAGGTATAATATTCCTTGTTATCATTTTCCTCTTTTTTAGGAAAACGTCTATATTGAAATAAAAACAGGGAATTTTTGAAAATTTTCCAAATCTGTTAGACATCACATTTATCTCGTAATCCTAATTCACTAATGACAAAGCTTGTATCAGGGCCTTGGACTTTGCTTTCTGATAATTAGGATCTAAAACTAAATTTGCTTAATCTCAAAATATAATAAAACATCAAACCTAAGTACGCAACGAAAATTCTTCCCCAAGTGTCCCCAGATTTCACCTATTGTAACCACATCTTTACTGGTGGTAAACAATAACTCTAACTTGCTCTCTTATTGGCTCTCTGGTCATTTGGTGTATAAAAGCATCCTAAACCACTTCAAGAAACCTCTCTAGCTCACTATTTAATTAAATAGTATCTCAATAAATGTGTCTAACGTTAAAGTATCTCATATGCATTACAGTATCCTTATTAATAACAACTCTGATCTCATGATACTACTGAAAAAAAAATACGACGTGAAAAATCTAAATCTTTGGTTAGTTTTAAAAACACCTACTTATGAATATTTAATTTTCTTATATAAGGCAGCAGGAAACTATTTGCTGGCGTGCGTTTACCACTTTCATATAACAAATATTAAACTTCACGTGTTACTTCACAATGTAGTAACATAATTTAAACAATCGATTTTATACTGAAATATGTAATCTGAATGACAAACAGAAAAAAAAGGTTTAGGCCTGGCATGGCCTGCAATCTGAAAGTCGCATTTCGAATCCCCGTCACACCTAACATGCACGCCCTTTCAGCCGTGGGGGCGTTATATGAGACTTACACTGCTGATTTAAGGACGGCTAGGGCATATAGCCTTCGTGAAGCTTTGCGCGAAATTCAAAAACAAACCGAGAAATGCCTATAATTTACAAAGCTATATAGAGTAATATGATTGTAATTTTATCATGAAAGTAAAAAAAAAAAAGGATTTCATACAGTCTATTACTTTCAATAATTTAAAAAATAGAGAATTACCATATTTTCTCTTACTTATGTATATACATTTAAAATATTTAATTTCGTTTTTTCCTTTACATATAAGCAGCCTTTCGAAATATGTAAAGATTAAACTTTTATATGTTTTACCAAACTTCTACACGAGGTAGGGTTATGATCGCGTGAATATTTAATTTCCTCTAAACTTAATATTATGTTCTCTAAACAAGCTTAAATCGTT